AAAAATTTATGTTAATGACGTTGAGAAAGAGCGTAAGGAAGATGAAGAAAAATAGGAAAACAGTGCGGGAAGCGGGCGAGTAAGAAAACAAAGACTAATTAACAAAAAAAGAAATAAGAAAAAACAAAGAGAAGAGAATGGTTAGAAAAACTGCTGCCTGCTAACAAGGTGCAGCATAAGAGCAAAGGAAAAGAAAAGCATCGCACATGGATACATACACGCGTACACAAACAGACACTTATATAACATATGCTCACAATTTGTGCACTGATTTGTACTTTGTTTTATTTTAATGTCAGAGTGTTTGTAATTATATATATATATATATATATATATATATATATATATGTACAGTGTGCGTGTGCGTATGTGTGTATGTTTAAGTACAAACATAGGTATACACGTCCTTGTTGAACGGTGCCGAGTTTCGGGTTTTCAATTTCAGCACTTAATAGTGCCACTACTTTCAACGACATGAAACGCTAAATAATGTGAAATTTACCTACAAAAACTTACATGCATACACACATATGCTATGCATGTATGTACGTATTTTATAGTAATGTGATGATTGTTTTAGTTGTTCTTCTCCTTCTGCGAAATAAATTCCTATTTTCGGTTGTGTGTACTTATGAAGGGTGCAACGTCCTTTTGTTTGCTCGTTTGTGTTTAAGCGTATAAAAATCTCTGTTTGCGTGTGTGTGTCTGCGCATTGTTTGCCTTAAATGCACATAAAATTTCGTTAATGCATAATTTTAACTCCTGTTTGGCTCATCTTGGCGTATGAATGTTTTATTCCTTTGTTACTTGCACATCGTGGAATCGTTTTACCCAAAATGTCAGCGACAGAAATATCCAAAAAAAAAAAAGGAACAACCAAGTAAAGAACAATTAGAAAACTTGAAAAATATTATTTTACGATACCATTGCATTCTTTCTGTTATGATGCCTGCGTTCGAATAATGCGTATGCAAAATATTCCATTATTATTACAACAAATTATCCCGCTGATGATTTTGCGGCTTTTATCAATAGCGTGCAATTTCAATGTGAATATTTTTCTTTAGGATAAATTTTAACATTAATTATATTTCCAACGCAGTCTTTACATTTGTTATGCAAAAAATTTGCTTTACATTTACATGAGTGACATATTTTTGTGCAGCATTTTCAAATGTATATAAAACATACTTTGAGGCGTTTGCTTGAAAATTTTTGGAATATTGCTAAAATCATCTGATTTGTAGAAACTTTCAGAAATTCAAGTAAAATTTCATAGATTCTAGTGTAAGCGTAATCTTCGCCCCTCGTAAAGCTTTATGCGTTATTTACACTGGCCTTTTTGCTAGAATGCTTGGTAGATAAGTTCTGTGTTCAAGAATTTTTCTCTCCATTCACTCTATTTGCTTGATTTAGCTCCATCTAAGCATTCGCGGTCAGGCCAGGAAGCTGTTTCGATGAAGAGATTTTGACTCTGCGTAAGATTTAGACCTGAAGGGATTTGACAATTTGTTGATCAAGGCATTTCAAGGCATTTCAAGGCATTTAGAAAGTGAAAGATTGCTTAGCAAGTGCGTGCCCCTTCGATCCAAGCAAATAATAAGCGGACAGAATCGCAACAATGCAAATATGGAAATAAGTAGCAATCGAAGGTTTAATCGCACTTTCCAGTTTTCTCAAGTTTTCTCGTACGGATGGATGGATGGACGGATAAAAAAATACTTCGCTTTGCATTTCTTGAACGATAATAACGGACTTTCTTGGTCTAGCAAAGCGCAGCTTATCCTATTCTTGCTAAAGCTATTTAGTACGGCATAAACGTTAACATTTTCGTTGTTAGAAAAAGTAGTTTAACGTTGCGGTGCTGGATGGTATCACGACTGGCTATTGTTGCCAGATGTCACCTAGTGGCAAATTCCGGTTGTCAAATTTTCATCCCTAGTGTGCTATTACTAAAACGTGGCAACATATAATCAGCAATCATACTTACAATTGAAACGTTAAAGGCTTCCTTATAACTCGACGATTAAGAGAAAGAAAATTGGAAATTTAGACAACTTAGACTCAAAAAAATTGTTTTGTTTTATTGCAGAGAGCGCGCAGAGCCACTCGGTCTAAATGAATCTATCGCCGGACTTCCACGTTATTGTATAAAACCGAATCAATATATTAGACGAATTCGTTAAAACAGGTGTAAGACCATGTAAGTTTTTCTCGTGCCCTCCCTAACAGAAATTTTTACGAGTATTACTCAGATTGGTAACAATTCAAACTGAAAATAGTGTTTCCTACGTAGAAAATAAATATTTCCATGTAAACGAAACAAAATATTTGGTTCCTTGGTATATCTATTATATACGATGTATGCGAATATCGTAAATCGTATGAAAGCACATTGCACATATTTTAAATTATGTTTTTTGCAATTTGCCATTAATTTGTACGTAATTCTGCATAGACGGGGTATTTACGTTACTTCGTTTGTCTACCGCTATCTGTAACCCTTCCTCAGCGCGTATGGACGGAGGGACAAAGTAAGACGTTTTTTTGCACATTTTTATGTAACATAAACGTATGGCGAATCTAATAAAAAAGTCCTCAAAACGTAGGCTTAAGTTGCCAGAAGTATATGTACATAGAGCTGTAGCGTATTAGGTTTTAAATGCGAGAGCTACTTAAAAATAGAAGGAATGTGTATTATATCGTTCCATTTAATTAACTTTATGCTATGAGGGCAAAATAAAGCGAATCTTTAAATCTATGAGGGGGATTTTTATAGTCCATTTCAAAAATTTATTAACTCTGCAGCCGAAAGACATAACAAATCTTGTTTTTCTGTTTTTACAACGCACACATACAAAAAAATTAGTTTTCCATATACCTGAGAGGGGCGAGCATCTAATATGTCTTTGATTAAATTATTGCTGCGGTAGAAACTGAAAGTATGCCGTGATGTTTTCCTAAGCAGCGAGCCTTCTCTTCAGTTAATGGTTGCTATTGAACACTCTAATGCAATCAGGCATAAAACACCTTTTTATGCATTTTTTATTTCTTTTACGAGCCTTGCACTTCGTTGGCATTGCTGGTGAAGCCTACGGAAATTATCCATTGTAAAGACTGTCTTTGATGCTTGACTCTTAGGAACTAAACGCGATGCGCTTATGAAGAAGTTTTTCGTTTTTATAACAACTTGTAATGAGCTACATACGACTTTTGAGATTTATTGAACCGTTCGCGTTGTAGTAAAGAGTTCCCGATGAATGAGAAAAACTTTATGAAATCATTATTAATCCTTTGATATGTAATGAAATGAATGAGTTTTATTAAAACGCCCGGAAAATCAGTAAATAAATGAATATATAATAACGACAACAACGACAGTGGCAAACACTACAACAACAATAGCAATGATTACATCAAAGCAAAGCGAAAGGGAAAAAATATGTGTGTGAATGAATTCATGAATGCTGGGGCTTATTGGTATTGGTGTTCATCACTCAGCTTTTTTTTTGTTCTTTGTAGTCCTATTACAGTTTTTTTTTTGTCTTTTTTTTAATAATTTTGTGGTGACATAAATTTTCTAGTGGTAGTTGTTGTTGCTATTGTTGTTGTCGTTACTGCTGTCATTGTTGCTTTTATCACCCTAAACACATGTACGTAAGTGACACCATTTATTATCGGTTCGTGTGTATGTTTCCTATTTTTGTATGAACAATTTAATAGAATCGTTTTTATTTTTTTTCTATATCTGTAGAGAAAATGTAGTTTCCACTACATTTACTTATCGGTGGAAAGCCACAACATGTTGTTTTAATAATTGTTGTTTGTCTGTTCGCTTATGCGTTGTTTTTGCAAATTTTCACAAAAGCAAACAAACACATGCAAACATATATATTCACTCGAGCAGTTTCAGGAAAAACAGCCACATTTGTTACGGAATAATGTGAGAGTGAGAGATGCAAAGCAAAAAAAAAAAAAAATATATATATATGTATATATACGCATATATATATATATACATATATATATATAAGAGGTGAAGAGAGTAAATTTGTTGTGGAATTTATCCAACAAATTCGTAACGGAAAGCAATCATTTTGGAAGTACGTAATAGGCAGCAGGAGTTCATCAAGTGAACCTCTTATCATTTTTATCTGCTCCTTATCTTTTGGAATTTAGTCAAACTACTGCTAGAGCTCATTTACATCCGCAATTCTTCTCTTCTGTAACTTCATGAATATCTTATCTCTTGCAACTTAAAATATGGTGTAATATTTTCATATTCACCACTAGCATTGATATTGCAGCTCCATAAGCAACCACCAGGCTAGGTAAAGTATACACTATTTTGATCACCTTACGTCCGCACCGCCCTTTGTATACTAAGGTTAGGATAAAATCCGTGAAAATTCGAAAAGAATAACAGACTATAACAGTTGCTATAATTTGGTAACTAAAACCTAAAATTGGCTCTCGCAAGAAACCATTTATTTAGAAAGCCATGCATAGAAAGTTTCGCTTAAAAGCTAACCTATTGAATGGGGATGACTACAGAATGGTATTTTCATAACCTAATGCAGAAAAGCGAGTAGATCCATTACAAACTTCAGGCACATTTCTCTCTTAGACAAACTGTTCATAATTGCATAATTTGCTGAAAATCATCGATCCATTTGAAGGGTATTGCAAGGATCTGCACAAGCTGAGTGGAAATGCTCTCTTGCTTAGGATGTTTGCTTTTTTTTTTCTTGTTTATATCTGGCAAAAAACACACACACTCTCCAAGGGTTGATTTTTGAAGCATTTCCCGTATACAGAGAACGACTACAGAAATTTTTACTACGACAATTGTGGTGAAGTATATTCAGAGTGAACACTTTACCGCAGACTTGCAGACGTGTTTCAAACAGTTGACGTGATTTTCTATATTAAATGAAACAAAAAAAAAAACAACAAAAAAAAAGCTACATAAAAACGGTTGTGATTTTCTTTTTTTATAACTACTAACCAGAAAAAAAAAACTCGAATGGAAAAAAGAACTTAAATAATTTAAAAAAATATTCTCTTAAGAATTTCGATAGTTTCTATAACGGCTTGAAATTAATAATAATAAAAATAAAAAAATATTTGAATGAAATTTTTCGGACATAAAAAATCTTTTTTTTTTTAAGCAAATCAATAAACCGGAAAAGGGTGGCTTTTGTATTATCATAACAAATTCGCTTGTACATGTGTTTGTGTTAAAGTTTCTACTATTCTAATTTTTCATATCAACAAATTACTAGAACTACAAAAACCTTTCATTCCACGCAAAAGTAATAAACAATTTTTGTAAGTGAACACAAAAAAAAAAAAAAGAGGAAGAAAAATCCAATTGAAAGAATTAAAAAAAAAAAAAAGAAATTTGCTGAACGCAAACAAAGTTTTGTGTTTAACATACATTTAGGCTGAGCCCCTATACACTTCCAAGGTTACCGGTGTTTCTTCTTTTTTTTTTATTTTATTCTCATTTTCTAGTTACTTTAACATTGTGTGCAGCTCTTCATTTTCTACTATTTGTATAAACCTGTTTATTTTGATTGAAAAGCTTCCATGCACACACATCCACTACAAACTACACTTTTCACAATTTATATGAGTGTGTATGTGTGCGGTTTTTTTTTTTTTTTCTTCTTTTTTAACAACACTTACTCCCTCACTACACTGGCAGCTCATGCTTGTGCCACTAGACTACGATTTCATTCAAAATACTTGCAATCAACTTTCAACGGCTTTGTTAAATGGCCTTTAAATTTTATATCGTCTATTTGCCTATATATATATACATACATACATAACGTGTGTGTATGTGTATATGTACATACATATATATATTTTATTGTTGAAATGGTTTAAATCTTATTGAAATGATGACGATTGGCAGGGTCTTTGAATAAATTTTAACATCAATTTTTAAATTTTAGCTTAAGAAAATTACTTACCTTTCGACTTCGTTGTAGATCACAATTTTCAAAGCCCGCAAAGAAAATAGTAATTCAGTTGAAGGTAATTCAATGGAGTTGAATGGGTAACTAAATAAATTCCTAACCATGAGGAATTATTTATGTAGACATTTAAGACCCAACTCATTCACTTGCAGCATGTTACGAGAAGAGCAAGGCAGAGTCTAGAATGTATGCCACGTAAATCTATACGGTTTAAAGACGCGAGTGTATAAAGAGGCCACATGAAGATACTCTCTAAAGCTTTCCTTATTATCGGTCACTTAGCCTTGCGATATTATTTAAATCTATTATTCAATCTATTGTCAGTTGAGGCATTCTTTGGTATCTTGCCACGCGAGACTGAATGCCGCGTGTTTTGCATATTTACATGCACCCTCTTTCTCGCTTCCTTGCCTACAGTCGTTCCTGACCATCGCAAAGTATACGGAAAGTACACTGACGAGATGGCCTTCTAAAAAACGAAAAGGGACATTATTCTAAGTGATAGGTATCTAAGTTTTACGTTTCAAGTTGAATGTAGTTTTTATGGGTTTCTTATTTTCTGTTTAATTAATCCAAAGTACGCTGCAGGTAATTACGATCAACTGCTAGAATTAATTAGCTCAAGAAAATACTTCAGATATCATGAGAAGCATTGAAAAACATCTTATGCTTTGAAACTGCTATTAAGAAGTGGACTTTCCATGCCCGCTAGCCTAAGATGAGTGTCATTTTGTCAAAAGATGCATACATTTGCAAAAGCCAATGGCAAGCTTCAGGAACCCTGCAAAGAGTATATGTTCTTAAACAGTAGCAAATTCTAAATTCGTTTAAGCGTGTCTGTCTGTCCGCCTGTCTGCATACGTGATGTTTGCGATTGCAAAAATGGGCAAAAACATTGAAAGCTCTTGCACGCAGATTGGTATTGAAATTGGGCCAAATCGGTCAAAATACGCGACCATAGTGCAGCGTAACCTAAGACCCCATTTGTTTTCAAAAATACAAAACATTTCGTTTTTATTTGCTCATTACTTACAAAGTAGATAGCTGGGATACGAGGAAAAAAATCGACAATTATATTCTTTGGGTGGTCCTGCAAAATACCTGCACAAAAATGGAAAAATCGGCCTGGACGCCTACTCAGTATTGTAGAATATGAAAATGTGGTTTTTTTAAACGTTTGTGGCAGTGAGAAGAAACCTTCAGAGATCATACAAAATTGTAGCATTATTGTTTAGATCTTTCAAACGATTAGCGACTTTAAAGAGTTCTAGAAACCCTCCTCAGTCTCCTCAGTTCTTTTCCGGACAGCTGGACAGATTATGTATTAATGGTTGATACTAATTGGTTTTTACCAATAATCGGAATTAATGTCGCGCTTGAAGTCTGCTTTGCTCCTTTGCGTCAAGAATTAAATATTATGCTTTTTTTTTTTAACAAAAACAATGTCAATCGTTCTAAAATATAAATATTATGTTACGTTATGTTATTGAAAAAGTTAAAGCTGCCGAGAGTACTCTCACTTTTCATATGATTGTCATTAACTGCCAAGATTATTGCTTGGCATTAAATGGAAAAGTAGCCTTGAACTATTTCGGCTAAGGGTTTGAATTCAAATAATGATTATGGTAAACAAAGTATTAACCAAAGAGAGTTGGCAAAGAACAAATATTATCTAAAATACTAATAGCTCACTGAAGAACTGGAAGCAGCGAAAAAAACCTTGAAATTTAATTGCTTTATAACGCCTTTCTCTCAAGTACAATAAAATCGTAGTCATTTTGTATTTGTGTAAATTTAATTAACGCGTACCGCACATTTATTCCCACTATTTTCTTATCTTCTTCATTAATGAAAATGTACTTCCATTATTGTATTATAGTAAAATATTAATTTTATATTTCTCTTTAAATCATTTTCAATTCACCTCTCTCGCCTTTCCCCTTACAAGACCAGACCATACAATAATGACTAAAAGGGTAGCATATCTTTAAGGTGAGATAAGGCTTTAAAAATCGAAGCGTGCATTTGAGATTATTATTGACTCGTAATCTTAATTAAAGTCAATTATCACACAATGGCATCTCAAAAAATCATACAGTTTGTCTTCATCCCTATCTATAATCGATATCTATGAGAAAGTTCTGATTTAGTTTCATTTCGATGAGAGCTATTGTAAAGGAAAGAATTCCTACTTACAGAATTTCTTTCAAAGAAAACAAAACAAAAGACTAACAAAGGAATTCATTTAATGCTCGTACACCTGACACAACAGCATTTATTGTCTAGAGGGAGAAAATTTTACTTTTTTTTTGCTACAACTAAGAAATAAACTAAACAAAAGGGTTGAATTTTAGAAACAAAGTTTTTTATTGCAACTCGCTACTAATAGTGGAAAGAGCAGAAAATCTTAAGAAAAAGGGAAAATTTTCTTGCAAAAAATAACAAAAAGAGAAGAAGTAAACAAAATAAGGAGGCGGAGGATTTGTAAGGAGAGTAGAAAGAAGATTTTTTCAAAAAACCATTTAAATTTATGCAATTTTTCAAATTTTAATATAAATGCAACCGAGTAAGAAGTAATAGGAAGGTGTAGACACAAGGAAACATTTACATGATTATTTTTCATTATACAGCTTAAAATTTTTGCATGCTTTGCACAATTATGCGAATCGTGCAAACTCCTCTGCCGTTATTTACTATAGAGAAAAATAGCAAAATACACAGGAAAAACGGAAAGCAATGAAAAAGAATATTGTATAGGCCTCTGTCAATGAAAACAGAAAGCAGAAAAAAAATTCATTTGAAAAAAAAAAGGGTGAGTTTTAAAGGTTAAGAATCTGTTGAGCTCCCACCCATAAAACTGAAAATTACAGGAAGTCAGAGTAACAAAACAAAAAAAAAAAAAAAAAACAAAACCCATAAAAAAAAGAGGAATAATCATCAACACATGCAGGCATATGTAAAGCGATGTAAGCAACAGCAAACAGATGAAAAAAGGCAGGAAAATACTTTACATACATATGCATGTACATGGAGTGCCTGAAAGTAGACGTTAGAAAAACAGGCATAACATCATAAAACCGGCTTTTGTTAGCAAGAGGTGAGATATATTTTACATCCATTGTGGTGAATTGGAATTTAAAGGAAGGCAAAGCGACAAAAATTGCGCTCTTATGTTCCGAAGAGCGGGAGATAGAAAAAAGAAAAGAAGTTAAGAGCAATAACGTAGAGAAAGAGAGGACATATGATTGCACTTTTAACGTTGGCACGTTGTTAAGCAATTGTCTGGAATAAGTGTTGATTTTAGCGTTTCTTTCGCTTCTTCATTTTTCTAGTGTTGAGTTTCTATTTGATAAACAAACTCATACCAATATTTATTCAACTACCCTCAAACAGCAAATGCCGGTTTAATTGTAAACCTTTGCTGGCTTAATATGTTTACAAAACGTTACACGTATATGGTAATTGTGTGGATGATAAGCGGTTAAAGAAATCCGTTTTAGCGCCCAAAATGTTATTCATTGAAATTTTTGCAAAGAATAGTGGATACATAAGTGAAGTGTTGTACCACCAATGGTTTCCAGATTAATTCGCTTCTTCCGTGAGCTGGAAAATTTCAATAGAAGGAACCTTAAAAACCCTAAAAAAATATAAAATAATTTACTCAAATAATTTGAAAATGTTGTTCTTTGTAAAGGCAAGCAATTTGCTAAATGGCATAGAAAGTAGGTCATAAAAAGTTCACTGAACAATTTTGCTTCACTTTTCCTATTATTTATAATCTGTGCAACATTTTTTTTTTATTATTTATTTATTTATTTTTTTTTATCAAACTTAAGGAGAAACAAAATTTCTACAGTATTCGAAAAAATTTCAAAAGTTCAAAAAAATTGTAGTTAAACTTAAGCTTTCAAAACATTTACCTTCCCTATCTTGCGACTCACCTTAAAATTAAAAGGTTCTGCAAGAAGAATTCCACCATGAATTTAATTGCATTCAATATTATCGAAAAAGACTTTATCTCTCGCTTGAATTTTGTCAATGGTGTAGAGTTGATTGTACTTTGACAGAAGAAAGCCTAAATGTATGTTAAAATGTGTGTTAATCAAAATTTGTGGAAGAAGTAGACGAAATGAAAGTAATCCAGTTTTCAAATTAAACTCATTCAAAATCAAATACGCACAATATCTACTTGTTATAATCCACTCTATTAATCCAGTATGACGGCGAAAGCTAGCGATAATGATATGAATAAAATGGCTTCTGAGATTCCGCGTCTTAGTTCCGAATTGGCTGCACAAGCTGCTCTGAGGGCGCAGCAAATATTGCGTAAGCAAGCTTCTCAGGAGGATTATACTTTAACACCACCAAGTACGATTGGTAAATCAAATGCGCCATCGTTGTTAGGTCAATTGCCTCCGAAACCAATTGGATCTGTGCCACCACCATTGCCACCTCAGCACAATAAACCAGTTCCTGCTATACCAGCTCGAGCAGCTGATCGTGCTACGCCCCCAGAAATACCGCCCAAACGTCACAGCTTAAAAAGTTTGCCTGATGGGTTTAATTTACCTCCACCTGGTCGGCAGCCACCTCCGCTACCCAAAAAACCTGCATCTGCCCAAAGCTCAGCACATAGTAGCGCACAAAATTCACCCTTAGCTATAGCGAAATTTAAAGAGAAGCCACCTCTACCAGCCGATAAGCCGGATATAAAAAGGTCTTCCAATCCTTTTGATTTACCGTTAGACAAAAATGTCCCTTCGCCAGCACCGCAAAGAGCTAGCGATGTCAAGAAATCGGCGGTTAATGCGGTTGCATCGCGGCTCTCCCCTACCGACGACTTTGGTTCGGAAGATGCCCTGCGTGGCATAGAGAGTGGCATTCGTAACATGGAGCGAGCAATGCAAGAGCAAATGAATTTACGTTCACTGGAGGCTGTACAAAATAATTTCGATATACAATTCAAAGCAGCTTTAAGTACAGGTGGACGGCATATATCTTCTGTTAATATGCGAGCGGCTGCCTATGAGCGTAATCTTTCTTTAGATGAAAACACTAGTGCACACAATGCTGCAGCTGCTGCTAGGCAATCATTTGAGGAACTCAAGCATTTAAGGGCACAACAATTGCAAAATGCTTCCACCAATAATCTTTCGCAACTTGAGCAAACACAACAACAAGCCATGCGCTCAACAATCGAACATCATATGCGCTCATTGGACCGCAACTTACCCTTGGAATTACAATATAGTCGTCGCGCTCATGCTCAAGTTGTGGCACAAGAATTTACCAAGACCTCGAATACGAGCACCACAGTAGCCCCTCCAGCAGTTTCGCCCATCCCCTTGAGTAATGAATTCCGCGAACACATACGTCAGCAACTGCTTGGTAACATACCTGGTAATGTGGTGCATAACACAGGTCAGGCCCCGGGATCCGCAGCGGCTGCTGCTCTGCTGCAGCATCAGGCACAATCGCGAGCAGCCGCGGCAGCAGCTGTAGCTCAAGGGGGGCCTGTAGCCGCCTTAACGCGTGAGGAAATCCGTATGCGGCGTCGCTCGTCACACGATGAAACACAAGTACCACAAAGTGTTTCGCCAGTCCTACCGGGTATGATATATACTTGCAGGATGTATCTTTTTAGTTTCCTAACTCTAAGTTTAGTTAGCCATTTTTTAAGTTGAATTGATTACACATTTTCATTTTGTCACGTAAGATTGAGAAGAAACATTCGTAAAAGCACAATACGAACGTCTCCAACAGAAAATTCAATTGTCTCCTTGCTTCTACACGTACTGCTGCTCTACGATTTTCTTCGCACGACTCTTTCTTCAAGATCATCTCTATATTCAAGATCACCTGTTTAACACTCGTCATACCCTGCAGCACTTGTGGTAGAGAGCGTATTAAGTTTCCGGATTTTAAGATATACCCACGTCTTATTATAATAATCGGTTCGTGATTATTTTTTGCATCGTGCTAAGCACATCTGTCTGTGTGTCCGTTTGATGTATGTTTATGTCTTTTTGTATTCAACTTATAGGACGTAATTTTTAGGACATTTTGGCAGATCCTGTTAAAAATGGATTAGATCAGACCATTTTTGCGGCTACTGCGCATGCAACGTCTTATTTTGAAATAGGCGTCCCATGAAAAGAATTGGCACTTTCAAAAATTTCTCGGTCCAAACTACTGAGTACTAGTATTCCATCATATTAAACTTGCGCGGAAAATTTGGACTGGATGGGCGGCTGTTTTGAATCGCTTTCATGTAAACGTCACTAAGAAAATAATGGCTTTATATGGAAAAACGCTCTATTTTTTGTTATTTCGCAGCCAGAAATGGTTCATAATAATAATTAAATATAGAAATCAACTCTAGAGAATTTGGAGCACATACATTCAGTTTTCGCATCCCACCCGTGAATGTTAAGTTTTTGAATGGCAAGAGGCTTTCATAATGACAATTGGTCCACTGTGGCAATCTGACATAGAGGCAAACTACGTCAAGTCTCAAAATTGTTTTTCAAACACATACGTCTACATATACACTACATAAGGGCGTCTCTAAAGAATAATCCTTTATGTGGGAACAAATAATTGATGAGAATTATATTTAGATTTTTGAGAAGGCGAATCATTTTGCTAAATATGGATCAAATATGGTTGGTCGAGCTCTCTTCTGTGTAAAGGCTACCGCGAAAATTACAATCTTACTTGGAGTGTGCGTATAATTTTTAGTCTTTTATTATGACAATAACCGAAGAACTACATTAGGCGAAGTGGTGTAAGGTATTTAATGGTCGGTGTTATATGACCTTAATGTTTTTACTTGTTTTAATTTTTCGGTTGCATTTCATAAGCTAAAATATGTAAATGAAAAATTTATTCTTAAATTCTCACAAGTTTATTGAAAATGCACACCCACTGCAACGATAAATAGTGTTTCTCTTCCTTTCAAACGCAGAAACTCTTTTGTTTCAGATTTTGTCGAATCTATAGATGAAAATCTCTATTGTCTCGTACTAAACTTTTCTAAAGTGAAAATCCAAAAGCTAATCCAATATACACAATGCAAGCCATACGATAACCAAATAATATAAACAACAACTTCATGAACTGCGCTCTCATATAGTTTCTACATCTCCTTATAGTTTTCTTTCTTTTTTTTTTTTTTTTTTTTTGAATACATCTGTCTGTTAACTACAACTTTTCTCACCCTTTTCTTACATTGTTGCATAATGTCTCAAGTTTCTTATTAAAAAAAAAAAAAAAAAAAAACAGAAGACAATTTTTTCATTCGCCTTAACATACATTCGCGCAATAAGTTCCAAATAATGCATCGTTTTTAAAAATGTCGAATTAAATTTTAGCAATTATTTTTTTTTCTCTTTATATATTTTCTTCTCTCCTACCATATATAACCTTCGTCATGCTACATTAAAAACAAAAAAAAACAATAAAAAAACAAACCAATGTAGAACTAAAACAATTCTCCCTAGCACCGCATTGTTCAGCCGATTTGGACTATATGCGTTGTTATTTAAAAGGTAAACAAAATTTCAATTTAAAATCAAATTGTTGTTGGGTTAACCATGATGTAGGTGTTGTTGTTATTATTCTCTTTGCTGTTCACTGAAATCTAATCAAAGCAAATAAAAGGAAAGAGCACTAAAACGCCAAACACCCGCAAATGTTAAACAAAATTAACTTAAGACTGGGTATCAGAATATTTTCATCCTTTTTTTTTTTTTGTTGGAAAATGTTAACATATATATTTACTAATCGCTAAGCATGATAAAGCATTACCTTGCAACAAAGTTCACGACACACCCATCCAGCATTGGCTTTCAAAATGCAATAATTCACCCGATTCACCGACAAAGATTGATGATCCCATTAATACACTGATGATAAACCTCCTGATCTACTATTTCGTTTTTTTTTTTTTTTTGTGAAAATTAAATTCAACAGAATAAAGAAATTAAATTATGTAGTGTTTTACAAAAATATATAAAATAACAGACCTTAGAGTTTGCAAGTTTGAGAAACGAAAGCATTTGCATATATTTGAAAATAAAAAAATCCGTCACTAAAATAATTCTTTCAGTGGAATTACTTCCTTCTTATCCAACAATACTCAACTCAAGCAATTAGTTCCGACTATTAATCTTCGTATTGTTCGGGCTACTCTCAGGGTAACTTTGCAGCGTCCAACGTTAAACAGCTGATAAAGACATTGTATATATATATTTATGTATATATTTATATATGTATATATATATTACATATATACATATCCTTAGAGCTGATCATTTTCGTTTGCTATCCTCAAGCAAGGTCTTTTATTTTATGCTTTGTCTAAATTTGAAAGATGTGTTTTCTTGTTAATCAATGTTTTTTGTTTCGGAAAATGTTTTATCTAAAACAAAAATGAATATCTCTTTTTCAGTCACGCGTTTGAGGGAACATTGGGACGAAACCTCACAATGCGTTCTGCAGAGAGCGGCCCAGTTGAAAAACATGTTGGGCGACTCGCAAAGGTAAGGACAGACGCTGGATTATATGTATGCGGGGTAAGATTTACATTTTTCACAATTACTTTCAACAGATACGAAGCCAAACGGTTAGAACTGGAAAAGTGGTTACAGCGTATGGAGGCTCGAGCTGAACGTATGGGTACGGTGGCTACAACGGCAGACATACTCGAGGCGCAACAAAAGGAACAAAAGGTAAGGAGGACCAGTTAGCGTCAAACGCTCCTTGCGATATTACACTCAGTTAACAGCAAAAAAAAAACTTTCCTTTCAGTCTTTTCATGCCGAACTGCATCAACATAAACCACAATTCGAAATTTTTAATACTCTAACGCAAAAATTGATTGCTGTCTATCCGTCAGATGACACATCGCGTATTAAAAAAATGACAGAAGGTGTCAATCAACGGTGAGTGAAATAATTAAAAGAATTATATATCATTTACAACGAAAAATGAATACTCAACCATGGGAGACAGAAATCATTTTGCAAATATAAAATTTTTGCTCTTAATGATTTCGGCAATACACTACTCTAGCTAAACGTAGCTGCACCTGGCTTGTGCATTTTCGGAAATGCGTAAGAAATCATCTGCAGTAACTGGAAGTGTCTCCGCTAAATTTCATCCATTCAATCCAGGCAAGATGACGAACACTCAGTTAAGAAGAAAGCTCCTGCGAATTATTTCGGGCGCACTATCCCACTTCAGGTGCTCCTGTTATTATTAATTGTGTGGGCTACCCGTACCGCGATCTAAAAAATCTATTGTTCTCGGGAGTGCCCCGAGTTTTTAGGTTCTTACGAATCCCGCCACCGTCTTTGATTCGGGGCACCATACAGTGTCCGGCGTTATGAAGTGTTTGCCAAACACTTCGTGTCTGATTCTGCAGATGGCGTCACATTTATGTAGGATGGGACGTCTGTTGGCAGAATCTGAATCAATACCAGAGATACCCATGTTTTTCAGGTGGGACCTGAAAATTGAATTGAATTGTGAATTATGAGCCATGTAGAAGCCTGTGACCAAGCGTAGGTTGCTACTTCTTAGATCTAGTAGCTCAAGTGCGGTGACGGAAGATTTCATAAATTTTGTACTTGTCCTGCGCATTACTTCCAATGGGAATCCAACTTTTTCTATCCCTATTGCAATACTATCCTATTATATAAGACCTGTCATGGGTCCCTGGTGCCCACCCATTAATTAGACAGTCAGTTCTTTCGTCGCTCTCACTGCCCGAATGACAAGTCGTCGGGATTAGAGGTATCGTCATCGGACTTGCCTATAATTTACGTTCATAGGAATTGTTAGGCTTTCCACATTATTCTTTTCAATAATAAGACTAACGTTCTCTTCGCTTTTTCGTTCTTTTGCAGATATTCGAATTTAAACAATGGTGTCATCAATCGCGGTAAACAACTGCATGCAGCTGTTCATAGTTTGCAGTCATTTGATCGGGCTATGGATCAATTTTTAGCTTTTCTGTCTGAATCTGAATCACTTTGCGAGACAGCCGAAGCCGAAATTGAGCGCAACCCGCTGATGTTTAAGGTAAGTGCTGATTGTGCTTTTCAAGTGCCATCTTATTCAAAGAGCATCGTCTCTGTCAAGCCACATTTACTACAAGAAAGGCTTGAAAATATCGATTATCTTTTCGAACTAAGTTCGTGTTCTCCTTACTATCACACTAAAAAATTACCATCCGTCTCTAGAGCTTCTCCTACAATTGATAACAATTTTATAGCTTTTTCCTAATATCTCTTTAAGGTTTCTTTATCAATTAAAAGGAACAAAAAAAAAAAAAAAAATTAATAAAGTTATTTTGAAACTTGTTTTCCTCACCTTTTAACAATTTTCCGAATGATTAAAGTCATAAAAATGGGAAAAAAATCCATTATATAATGGACCATCAATATAATTGGAATGGTAGATGAGGTGGGGTAATTCCTTGTTGCTCTATGAAAGAAAACTGAAAATGAACAGCAGCCCTTAAATAGTCAAGTGCCTATCTGCCACTTGAAGTAATAAGCAGATAAGTAAATTGGTTTATGGCGGATTTTCGATACCCACCGCACAAACAGTGCAATGTTTTTTCTTATTTTTTTTTCCGAGCGACAACTGAGCGACCGATCGATTGATCTATTAATTTCGATTTTATTATGCAATCTCGTATTATGTAAAAATTTATATGTTTAACTTCTGAAGTCTATCGCTAAACTTTGCGAAAGTTGAAAGAATGAATAGGAGGCAGAGATACAACGATTTGGATACGTAAGCATTTTTGCGTTCCCGATTCGATGGAGAGCATGTATAAAACTAATTCAAAACGTAAATATTTAATGGAGTCGGCAATCCGCGCTTTTTTCGTTCTGGATGTCAGAAATGAAATAACAAAACTATTATATATCCTATCCTGCACTAATAATGAGATTGAAAAAAGAAAACAAGTAAGCAAGTTATAATCGGTTGTGGCCGAATCTCGCATACCCATCGCCATTAAACCCCTTTGACGCCTCATTCTTATATTTATTGCCATAAACAAATTAATGGAATAATCGTTATCTTCCATTTTTTACTTCATTATCGTTAAGAAAAATTAGTCTATCACGTCGTGACGTCCACCGCAATTAATTTAGAACTAACACACTTGGCTTTTCGCATTCTACTTTTGAAGCTCTTTTGTGCGGTACCCACATCAACGGCGTTGTGACAAAAACATAAATCGATTACGTCGCGATTCCCACCAGAATTTAGAATGAATACACTTATCTTGCCGCCTTCTTCCCTCCGAGTTAAAAATAAATTAATCCATCAGGTATTGGTGTCCACTACATTTATTTTAGACCTAAAGCATTTTTAAGCAGATAATATACATATGTTTGTATATCTTCTTTTGTTTGCTTTACGATTAATGTGGAAAAAGCCTCAAAAAATTGAAAGAGACATAATTTAATAATTTGTAGTTTTCGCGATAGCAGATCAATAGCAGAATTCTCCGTAAAGTAAATATGCCAAATATCAGATTTCTATCTTCCGCAATTTGTGAGTAGTGGGTAAAAACTCACCAATTTTTGTTCAGAAAAACCGAGTTGCGTTTAGTTTACGGTTCACGGCGCGCTTATGCTCCGACCAATTTGGCCTATTTTCAATACCAACCTGCCTGCCAAAACCTTCAATATTTCTATTAAATTGGAAATCGATATCTTTATATCTGCGACTAGGAGAAGGGCAACAAAAAATACGGCGCAGTCGCGCAGTCGGACAGACATGGCCTAATGAACTCAGATTTTCGTGCTGGTTACGAATACGCATATGTTCCGAAGCTTCCTTCTGCATGTTGCAGACATTATGACAAAATGAGTATACCACCTTTCCTTCAGCGATGGGTATGAAAAAAGAAAAATTATTATGATTTGCGTGTATATGCATATCTTCTTAGGCAAACATATGTGTGTCTATGGTGTATGAATATGTGTGCACACAGAAGCGTTACCCTTCCCATTTTACATTGCATTACACACGTACGTATGCAGACTCTCCGCTGTAATCACTTTCTTAATTGCATCTATAAACTAGAACACAATTATTAATGAATAGAATGAATATCTGGAAATGCAATATTAAGCGCGTAATAGCAATACTCAAAGGCACTGAATTATGTGAAGCCAGCCCGCATATCAGTTTTTATTTAATTTTTCGTATTTTCCACAATTAAAGTTCAATATACTTTGAATTTAAAGAAAGTACAGCAATACTTATATTCGTTTTGGCGCTGAATCGCTTTCGCTTCTAATAAACAATAATTTTGAAATGAAATTCTAGTTCATTGGGAAAATGAGTGTTTCGAAATTTAGCCCAATTTTCTTTTCTTTTTTTTTTCTGTTAAGATTGGTTCTTATCTTAAACGCAAGACAGGGGCAAGACAGACACTTAATTATGTTTTTCAAAATAAACATTTGGGCACCGGCATGTCGTAACACATAGAAGCATCGCTGATAAGAGTCACAGTGAAAGAAAATATAAAGAGTTTTCAGTTTTCTTTTTCTAGTGTAGACTCTATATTTGAGAAGCTTTCGAGGCACAGCCATTGGCGCATAGTCAAATAGATAAAAGCCACCACTACCGAGCCGGTGCTCACCATACTTGGTCGTGCTCAATCTGTAAAGGCATTACTCTGACCGATTAAGCGTCAGTCCGCGGCAACTCCTTGTTTCCTTTCTGCCTTCCGATCGGGCGTAATAAAGAAAAGAGTTGAGAAGTTCTGCAAGCTTATAATATGAAAAGTTTCCTATAGGAAAGCGGAAGTGGAATACGTTTAGAATTATACTTACCACCAAACACAAGTACGAAAGCTAGCTTGGGACAGAGTTAGGTAAGCAAACTTTCTATTTACTTTTTGCTACGTTGATACTGTACGATTATACGATTTTGTGCGAAATGGACCTTAAACAATTTTCTTAGTTTCTTTTTCGAAATCTCTTTTTTCATCACCGCAATCTTCTTTGCAGCTTTTTTTAAATATATATAAATATAATATAAAATATCCTATCAACTTCTAACATGTCTTTTAAAGCTCGTTTTAAAAGAGGAAATTTTTTTTTTTTAATAAGATTTCGGTGGATATTGAAATTTCAAACCATAAAACTTTAAAGCGCTACCACGCACCATGTTGCTTTCTTGAAAAAGTTGTAAGCTTTTAAAAAGTTGTATATTTCGTTACCTAATACTTCTTCGAACTGAACCAATTTTTCTGAGCTTAAATCAAAGCTGCGACGATAGTTAGTAAACTTTAGAGTTATTTATCCAAAGTTTGAAAGCTTAAGAAATACGAGGTTATATCCGCAATGGAGCGAGTCTTGGATATTCTATACATATAACACACAAGCAAAGATACAATCGTAGACATGTCAATCAATAGACCGTTTGAAATCAAAGGTCGGCACAAAGGTCGGCATAGGGAATTGAAAAGAAAACATATGAAATTGTGTACAAATCAAAGGTCGGCACAAAGGTCGGCATAGGGAATTCAAAAGAAAACATATGAAATTGTTTGCACGTACGTTCCCTCTTCCGGGACAAATTAAAAATGGAAAGCAAAATGCTTATGAATAGGGGATCACAACGATGTCGTATATTTCTTCTTTTTTTTTTTTTGGCATTTTGTTTGCAGTAATCAGGTCTTTAAATCCTTTTTGCCCTGCATCTTATTGTAGTGGAGCGTTTAAAATTGAAAACTTCTTCTATATGCCTAAAAATGAAAACAAATGTCGGGACAAGAGAAAGATCAGATTTGATTTTAAACAAATAGTTGACTTCATAGGAATCGTTATACTTGTTCAAGAAGTTTCCCTCGTATCTTGGTTTAGAAAATAAAAACAAAAGTTTATTTTCAAGCTTTTTCACCTGTTAGGAAAGCTTTATTCTCGGGTTGAAATTTGTACTCATTTTTTCTCATGATTTTATTTACGTTTTTAGTGATAAGAAAAGTCTCCATAATTACAAATAGAAGTTATCACTCAGTTGCGTTTATTAAACCTGCAGGCATTGTTTACATTATTTGGCGGCCTTTCTGCCTTAACATGTTTTCAAAATATTTTATAAATGTGTCAACATATGTTTATGGAAATGAAAGGGTTGCGGTAGCCGGTAAACGGAATTTAGGAGAAAGCGGAAAGAACAGACCTCAGAGGATGAGAGAATGATTGAAAGAAATAGAGAGAGTGTACACTCTCTGAAATTGTTTTATCAATTGCTCTCAAGCTCTCCACATAGACGCAGATGCTGTGCGTTATGAAAACGTTTATTTACGGGCGATTTTGTTGTTTCTTTTGATATGAACTCTACACTTGGGATGTGTGTGATATATGTATATATGTGAAGTGAGGCAAAGAAGAACAGTTTGAGGTTTATGCAGCTTAAACAATGATGCCAGTGCGTTACGGAATTTAGTTGGTATTTTGAATTTCGACGGTTTACTACATGCCCAACAATATAAACCGTAAACATATTACAAAAATATTTAAAAAATTTTTTAAAAGTAAACCACAAAATAAACTAAAATGCAAAAATTTAAAAAAAAAAAGAAAAATTCATTTAATTATTAAAATTATTGCCTAACTGCAGGCAAATCAAATAATTCATTTATGTAAAGTAAACATATTTTTGTATATTCACATATGTAAACATGTAAATATCGTTGGCTTACGGTTACGGATTTTTATATTTTGCTAAAAAAAATTTCTGTTACGAATCGAATTGATTTCCAGCCATTTTACATATGTGAGTGAGCGGATGTGCGTAATTTTGCAAGTGCGTATGCAAGGGCTTTCGTTTAATGTGTGTTAAGTGTTTTTAAAATGGCTTTCTTTTTTTCTTTTTTTTTTTTTCCTTTTTGCTCGGAAATAACTGACTACTGCTATATGCACACAAGTGATATCAAGTAACGCTGCTTGTGTGCAGTTCTACTATGTTCAGATTGCATTAAACTATATGCAAATGCACATATGCATATATATATATATTTATGTACATATATGCAAGCAAATATTTGT